AGAGTGAGAAATGGCAAGTGGCAGTGGGTGGTGGGTGGTGACGAGTGGTGGCGGCGGAAGACGATGGTGGAAAATGATGGCGGGTGGTGGTGGAAAATGGTGGCAGGTGGTGGGCGATGGTGGCAGAAGACGATGGTGGAAAGTGGTGGCAAATGGTGGGTGGGAATTGGTTAAAATTGAAACTCTATTCATATTTTGTGTCTTTTGAAAAACCCTAGTTTCTAGTTATTTTTAGGAAGGGACGTCATGCTCCCCCACATCCACCGAAAAAAATTTGATTGTTACAAAAATGTTTGATAAAGTTCAAAATCAAAAATTGAAAATTACAAATTAAGTATTGAAAGGTAAATGTTGAATTTTTTAAGTTCAAAAGTTGTTTGATAAAAATTTAAATACTAAATTAAAAATAATTCATTTGATATGTATAAGATAAAATTTAAAATTTATTATTTTTAAATTGTATATTTCAATTTTTATATTGTGATGGTAGTAGTAGTGGTGGTGGTGATTGTATGATGGTGGTAGCGTTGATGGTGGTGGTAATAGTGATACTAAAATGATGATGGTGCTTATGGGAATAATGACAACGGTGATGGGTGCTGGTGGTGGTGGTGGTGGTGGTGGTGACGAGGGGTGGGTGGTGGTGGCGAGTGGGTGGCAGGTTGGTGGTGGTGACGGGTAAGTGGTGGTGGTGGAAGACGGCGGTGGAAAATGGTGGCGGGTGGTGGCTAGTGTTGGGTGGTAAAAAAAAAAAAAACTCCAAACTTAAAACGGAAACACATTTTTTGAGTTTACATTTTTTGGCCAAATTTATAAATTGAGACCACTGATTTATAAATCAAAAATTTACCAAACAAGTTTTTATTTGAATTTTTAAAATTTTTGTAAATATAAACTAAAAACTGAAAACGTAAGTGTTACCAAACGGCACCTTAGTACATCGGACTAAACAAAAAAATTCACCAATTATCCTTAATAAAAAGTGAAATCAAATTTTGATATAATCGAACATTCAGTACATCTGACTAAACAAAAATAAAATAAAATAACTTTTGAAATTTTATTTTTACTAGATGATAAACAATGAATGAAAAAATATAACTCAGCAACTCGATGGCATAGTGTACTATTGTATAAAGTATTTTCTCACACAACCCAACTCGGCCTTGGGTTCATTAACATTAACAATTCAAACATGTTTGAACACTACTTTAAAATATGTATAGGACAACTCAAGGGTACACACGTGAATTAAAGAAATTGAGTAATGTTAATAATATTATATAGCGTGGAAAATGCTTGAAACGTGATAAGAAAGTAAAAGAGCCCATACCATATACCACCCAACCCCCACCGGACCATTAGAAGACTCTTAAAAAAGATGCACATATATGGATATGGGATCTGGTCAATATATGACTTCTATCCATGACCATGAATATTGTTTTGTTTACAATGTGTCTCATTAAAATATATTTGAGATGTTTTTGTGTTTTTGACAAAATATGTGGACAAAATGTTGGAAAAAAGTTATATAAAATCTTAGGTAGTATTTGGTTTAATTTTCAAAACTTAATTATGTTTTCAAGTTTGAATCAAAATTTATAACCAAACAAAATTTTAAAATACAATTCAAAATTACTTTCAAAACTCCTTTCTTCTCTTTTTTTTTTATTATTATTAATCAATCAATTTATCACTTTTTTTCTCTCATCTCTCGTCTCTCATCTCACATTCTCTCACATTTTATATATTAATCAATCAATCAAAAAAAAAATTTTTTGTACAAATCATTCCAAAACTATTTTCAAAACTCATAATCAAACAAATTTTCTCTTTTTAAATCATAATTCAAAAACTCAAAAATCAAAACACAACTCCACACTCAAATCATAATTTTAAAACTAAACCAAACGGACCATTTTTTTTTTTTTTGTGTGGCTAATTTTGAGTATTAATTAAGGTGGGACCCAAGTGTTAATTTTAACGGATGCAAGTGGATTCATGTTTAATGTTGCGTAGTGGATAACATCGCATATTTGGTAGCTTAAAACTATTTCCGAATAAATGAGAATTCAACACGCATTTGACCTTCGTAAAAATGACAAGTGAGTTTTCTATACATTTGTGAAATGTCCTTGTCCCATATAAAAAAGGTCTAAGGTTTTTTATGAGTATATAAATCTTAAAGTTGGGATTTTGAGTTAGGCCATTCTGAACAGCTATGAAGGCCCATCTAATCAAGCACCATTGTCGCTATAAATAAGCTAATCATTCCAGCAACTTTCATTAATTCGATTGCTTTCCAATTTTCGTTCTTCCTTCTCTTGTTCTTTGCTCTCCTCTGGTTCTGCATTTTTTTGCAAATAGTTTTAGGAAAAGTCAGTAAGAAAGAAACAGTTTCAGCACTAGTTTACCAGACTTGGAATTGTTGTGCTATATTTCCAAGATATAGTCGTTACATCCTGAGAAGTAAACGCCAATAAAATTCAAAATATCGGAGCGAGAGAAAAATCTACTTTAAGAAAATTGTGTATAGCACAAGCCTCGACTTAAAGTCATTTTTTATAGCACTATAACCATTAAATTCATAATTTAATTTTCATAATTATTTTCTGAATTATTTATTTCTTGTTTTTTATTTATATATTTAATTTACACACATTACACAGGGACTATCTGGTTTCTAACACAAAATATATTCTATAATTCATTAAAAGTAGTATAATAAAGAGGAAGATTGTATTATTTAATTGAATACAAAATGCATTTTATTCACATTCTATAAATATGCATGTTTTATATAGTAAAAAATGGATCTTGTTAACGTGTGTGTCTTTTAAGGAACATGTTAAGTTACTTAAAAAAAAAAATTATGTATATTTTTTATTGTTCTTACTTACATGTATCTAAAAGCACACATTAACAAAATTCATAAAACAAATATATATATATATATATATATGGGTCATATTATACCAACCACCCAAAAAGGGTGTACCGTATGCAAGTTATGACATTATGTGGTGTTGATACTACAAAATGTCATAACCAAATCACTTTCAGTCAAAACTAAAAAAATCACAGCGGATCATAACCAAACACTACTTGAAACCTATCTAAAGGCATTTTTGGTCATAATGAAAATAACTACCACAATAAGTTATAACCAACATCACAATAAATTTGCTTACATTTAAAAAAGAAAATATAACTTTTGGTGCAATAGCGCAATGTCGATGTTTTGGTTTGCGTGAGCGTGCCAAGACTTTAAACCTAGTCCAAAGTATAAATTTCTGACTTCTAATGCAGGAATTTAGTGTGGTTAGGAAGATAGATTACTGGTTCAAATTTTGTCTCAACAAAGATGACTTCAATATTTTCTCAAGTGATGCTAAAATATTGTTAGGTGCAAAGTGAACAAAATTGACTTTGCATTGATTAGAATGAATGAAGAACATTGGAACAATGTGATTAAATTAACCAAGGAAACAACTAATTGTAGGAATTAAACTATTTAAATAAAGACAATTTATTGAAAATTGCTAAAATGTTATGAAAATTATATGTATAAATAAGCTCTTACTTGAGTTTGGTGCTAGACGTCTTCAAATGTTGGCTATGGAGTCTTTTATAGTACAATTTAGCCTCCTCTTTCTACTCTAACCGCCAAAACGTGACAACTTGAAGTTCTGTCATTTGTCTCAAGATTCCTATCTTTACGCCCAAATTTAGGAACCATTTAAACCAACAACAAATATATGCAAAATATTTCATTAGATGGTTGCCATGTGACCCGTTAGATCGCAATTTAGTCTTCATATGTGGTTTGACATAGGGATAGTAATTTGAAGCCGGTCTAACGAGGACCCGATCTCCCAATCCTGATTAGCACAGGTTTTTCCTAAAATTATCCCCTATAGGACCGGGGATGCTATTGAAAATTGAATCACCGACAGTTTTCAGGCCTGGGACGGGGATAGGTTTCCCTAGCCCCGCCCTGAATTATCCCTGCATATATAATTCCTCGAATATTTCCTGAATATTCCCCATATATATATATATATATATATATTTGAGTCTGCCTCTCTCACTCATATTCATTTCATTACTCTCAACCTCTCTCCTTCTCTCGTGTTCTCTCTCTCTCTCTCTCTCTCTCTCTCTCTCTCTCTCTCTCTCTCTCTTTGCGCAGCTGGTTTCGGGGCATCAACGACAATCTCCCTCTTCCCATCATCGCCGTCGTCCCTCTTTCGTCGCCGTCCCTTCTCCCCATCGCCGTTGTTAGATGTCTCTTCTCTCCTTCCAACGTCGCCCTCCCTCTATTGCCTCTGTCCCTCTTCTCCATCACCGTTGTCCCTCCTCCCATCATCGTTAGAGTTCTGTTGCCTCTCCATCACCGCCGATTGCCGTCGTCTCTCTCTCTGAATGTGTTAAATTTTATTTATTTTATATTTAACCTCAGATCTGTTCAATCTGTTGAATATATATGTTAAATATGGAGTTGAAGAGTTTTGTCTTATTTTGATGATTCAAATTATTAATTTTATATAACTTTTTATATATATTATCCATGAAAAAATTAGAATGATTCGATAATTGTAATATATTAATTTTATCATGTTTGTTTAAAAAAAAATAATAAATAAACGGTAAATATATTTTTATGATTGATAAAAAAATAAAAAATATTAATTATTTATATTTTGTAATTAAGAAATATAATAAAACATAATAAATAATAATTAATAAAGAAATATGATTACGTAAGATTTTAAAATTATACTCCGAAATGATTTTATAATTTTCAGCGTTGTCGGCCTATCAGTACATGAACATATTTATTTTTTATTTTTTATATTTTTATAGAGGCGTTCTTAACCAGCTAAGGTGGGCTTGACTATTGACTAGGACACGAATTTCAAATTGAAAATCAAAAACCAACCGACAGAGATCAGACCCTATAAAAATAAAATAAAGAAAGCAATCCAAAACCCAATTTCAACTTGGCACTTCCATTTTATAAAATATTATTTTCTCTCTCTTTCTCACTCTCCTTCTTCCTTCCTTGCCTCCTTCCTACAACTTGCACATAAAAGCAAGCTTCTTAAACATCTCTATATATTGGGTCTCTCTTCTTTGGGTTCTTCTGGGTATTCATTCTTGCAAGTTTTAGAGCATTTGTGTTTGAAGCTTTTGTTAGAATTTTTCCTGGGAATTCAGTTGTGATCACTGCTAGTTCAATCAACTTTCAAGTTTCAAGAAACAAATGGATTACATTAGTTTGCTTGACACTTCATTGGATCTCAATGCCAAGCCTCTCAGATTTGTCGACGATGCACCGGTATGTGAAGCATCATCAATCCTCCTCAATTCATACCCAACGTTTTTTTCTTTGTTTTTATTCGTTACCCACTGGGCTGATTTGCTGAATTTGGATTTCTTGTTTTGTTCTTGGTTTCAGAATAAAGAGGTGCAAAGCAATTTCATTGAGTTAGGAATGAAAACTTCAGTGAAACAAGAGGTGAGTCAGTTGTGAAGAAAATCAAAATTTTACAAACCAAAATATTGCAAATATGCTTATTTTTGTATGCACATGATTTGTTTGATTTAATGTCTGAGAGATCTGAATCTTTATTTTTGGGGTGTTCAGGCTAGTGCTCTAGTAGAGGAATTGAACCGGGTTAATGCCGAGAACAAGAAATTGACAGAGATGTTGACAGTGTTGTGTGAGAATTACAATGCTTTGCAAAGACATTTGATGGATTATATGAGTAGGAATCCGGGGACGGTAGAGAATGTGGTGTCGAAGAAGAGGAAAACTGAAACCAGTAATACTAACATCATCAACAATGGTAACAATGATGGAATTCATGGAACTAGCGGAGGAAATTCGGAGAGTAGCTCGAGCGACGAAGATTCGTGCAAGAAACTGAGGGAAGAACATGTCAAGGCCAAGATTTCAACGTTGTGTGTGAGAACTGAATCCTCTGATACAAGTCTTGTAAGTCCTACACTACGAGAAATTTCACAATTACTAACAATTTGCTTGATTTGATTCGATTTAGGATGTTTCTTGAGGTGTTTTTCTTTGAAGTTGTTGCATATACAAGATGTTTTTCCAAGTATTGAACAATATTTTATGTATTGCAGATAGTGAAAGATGGATATCAATGGAGGAAATATGGACAAAAGGTGACCAGAGACAACCCTTGTCCAAGAGCTTACTTCAAATGCTCTTTTGCTCCTAGCTGCCCTGTCAAGAAGAAGGTGAGCCAATATATCCAATCATCCAATACCCATTTTTAATTAAGTTGTTCCAACTCCACCAAAAAAAAAGAAAAGAAAAAAAAAGAAGGTACTTTTGAGGATCAAACTCTACAGTCAAGGTTCTTACTAGATTACCCATTTTTGTAGACGAAAGACCTATATTAATTGTGTCACCTTTTGAGATATCTAGTACTTAAAAGAAGAGAAGGGATTATGCACTGATGGAGCACTGTTTGGATGTCCCAGATGAAAATTTAACCAGTTCATTTCTCCTTAGTTTTTGCATGGGATTGAAATGAGCCCATTGTTTTCTGACTTTCCATTGTCGTGTTTAAAAATACATTAGCACTATGATCAGAGTTCTTATCATATTTTGCTTACTTTTTAATGTGTTAACAAACATGACTCATGAGATGAGACTTATTCAACAAATACAATGGTAACACATAAGATAATAGACAAACTAGAAAATTTGATCATTGAAAATTTATGGAAGATGGAGTCTTCTATGAGACATTCAACCAAAGCATGCCATTCTTATCCTTAACTAATTAAGCTTATTTTTTCTTGTCTCTCCTCAGGTGCAAAGAAGTGTTGAAGATCAATGTATTTTGGTAGCAACATATGAAGGAGAGCACAACCATCCACACCCTTCAAGACTTGAGGCAACAACATCAAGCTCTAACCGAGGCATGACACTAGGTTCAGTGCCTTGCTCTGCCTCTCTCAGCTCATCTGGACCAACCATCACTCTTGATCTAACAAAACCTAAGACCAAAAGTGATACCGAAAATTCAAACCACCGGACAACGGTCAACTCGCCGGAATTTCAACAGTTCTTAGTTGAACAAATGGCTTCTTCCTTGACCAAGGATCCCACTTTCAAAGCCGCAGTGGCGGCCGCCATTTCTGGAAGAATTATCCAACATAATTAGAAGCCGCTCCAAAGAAAAGAAACTTTAGTTTCATGCATTTGATTATTTTGACTAGTCTAGGAGATTTGGAGGGTACCAATTAATGTAAATACAACATTGGAGAAAAGTAGAACATGTAGTTTGATTTTTTCCAAATGTGGGGCAATACCATTTACAACTTTGCTACAGATCTCTACTTAATTGTGCATTTTTTTGTTTTACTAATCAAGTGTGAATCCCACATAAGTGTCATTGGTAAAAAAAAAATGGATAAATTTGTAAGGGCACCTATCTTTTTCCTACTTAAGTTTGATTGAATATTAGATACAATGATATTACTTAGGTCTTAATTTTTATTTTTATTTGAATCGGTGAAAGTTAATTATTAATTGTTAAATTAGTTATTGGGTAGAGTTGAACTCATAATCTCTCACTTGCAAAGCCTCCATTTTATTAGGCTATGTGCAGTGTGTTAAGTCTTAATTCTTTGATATAAATCAACAATGAAGTATACAACATATTTAAATCAAAAACATTTGCAACGTCACTTCACAAAAATATGTGAATTTTAATTTTAAAAAAGAAAAAAGAATAACTTTACAAAAGATGGTTCAAAACCATAAAAATTGAAAGAAAAAAAAAATCATTAATTCCCTTTTCTTTCTTTTTTTAATACTATCAGTAAGAGAGAGATAAAAAATAACACAAATAAAATTTAAATTCAAACATCACATTAAGGAAGTATGTCAGTAGCGAAACTTGGTGATCTTATAAAATGAACAACAATTATTCATTCCTCCTTTTTTCCCTACCCCCTTTGACCCCCTCTCTCTCATTGGTTACTTTTTCTTTTTCTTTTTTTCTTTTTTCATGCTCCTACAATCACCCCGCCACGTGACAAAGGGGTGAGAGGGTGATCCCAAAAAGGATCCCAAGCATTATTCATAAAATGAATGCATTTATAGCAAGGAAAAGACAATGAAACCAAATATAAAGAACGATAGATATTTGCATAGCACAGATATTTAAAAAGTTGAAATAATGCGCCACCACACAAATCTTCTTGTTACATTTGTCCTGCAATTTGAAGCACCAAGTGTTTTTTCCCCAAAGCACTAAATAATTTTAGCAGATATTTATAATATGGTACAACACAATTATTGTACAGTAAGATTTGGGTTAAATGCTAATATGAAACCTTAAATAGGAGTTGTAAGAGTATTTTGAACAAGGATACATGATGCAATTGGTGCTTCAAATCATGTGTTCAAATCTTCAATTTGCATAAAACTTTGTAAAACAAAAGTAAAAATAATAATAATAATTTGTAAATGAAATAGACTATATATATATATATATATGAAGAAGGTTGAAACTAACTCAAACAAAGGGAGGCTCATCTTAGCCTACGTAACATTGTCTAATTTTTTGTGCCACATGATATTGAGAGAAATGACAAAAATGATTAAAGAATAATAATCTATTACAGGGGATATTATCTAGACCTATTTGGCATACACTCCATGAATTAAGATATGTAATAATCAATTATACAAAGTCTCAATTAATATTGAGTTTATGATATTAAATTGATTTGGGTGTTGGAATGAATAAGGAGCATTAAAGTATCCTTAGCCGACCATCGATTGGGCACTAACCGTAAATCCTAAATTCTAAACCAATAGAAAATAATCTTTTAAAAAGAATATTCTTTAAAATATCTTGAAAAATATCTAAAGTCTTCAAGAAAAACTATACATATATAAACATACATCCCCGTAGATTAAAATATACAATAATTGACCACAAACTCTCTATTGATATTATACTAACTTGCATATTGGAAGTCTGCTGATAGGTGAGTGCCCCTAACATACCACCAACTGAGCCCTAACGATAATTCTCTTGTAAATCTCGTACACGTGGTGATTCGGATCATTTTTTCTGTTAGTTTTCTTCATCAAACTAGCAAAGTATACTTTTCGTCTTTACAATATATATAGTGTTTCACAAATGTCCTCCATTTTCTTTACTCTCACAAATCACTCATCGTATTCAAGTTTCAAGCACAACCTTGAGAGATAATAATACGAAATTCAAAGTGGGTCAAAGTACGAAGTGACATTGGTGCCTCCTATGAGACTTTCGCGTAAAAATCAATAATGCTACAAAGCCAAAAAAGTTTTCAAAACACAACATGACAACGCCACATTCATCCTTGTCAAGTGTAGGGACCATTCAGAATAAATGCACTGCAGAAATTTGAAATGTTCACAAATTGTTAGGTCACCGTGTCACTATACAAAGGAGAAAGCCTAAGTACACAGAAAATTTTGACAGAATTGAACACAGATCCAAGCACCTCCCACATCTTTCTGAATACCAAATTCTATTTTTTTGATCTACATAGCAAGGAACAAAATAATTCATAATCATTTATACACAAACCGCATTTAGCCCCCACCACCTGATCTCACGAAAGAGACGCCACCAACGATGCATTCACGGTGCAAATTACAATCCATCAACCAAAAAGAGAACAAATTACTACGTGGATAAACTCAAATCATCAATAGTGCTTGCTAGTCCCGGTTCAGTTGAATCCTCCGGTTGCTTACCTTCAACCTTACCCTTGAAGCTGCTATCTTTATCACTTGCATCTGCTGCAGCTATACAGTCCTGGAATCTGAAGCACGATATGAGATGGTCATTTGTTATTCCAGCAACTTGCATGAACGAGTAGATGACTGTGGGCCCTACTCCTCGAAACCCTCTTCTCACCATGTCTTTGCTTATGGCATCTGCTTTTGATGTCTTAATTGGAACCTGCCGGGGATACCGGAAGTGACTAACTGTAGGCTTATGGTTTACAAAGCCCCATATATATTTGTCAAAAGACCCAAACTCATCTATTATCTGCATCAAAAGGCAAGCCATGAAGAGAGTTAAAGACTCGTGTGACCAGTAGTTGGTGAACAACTTGGATTATTAGCCTGTCCAATCTATTGTCATCGCACTGCTTAATGCAAAGCGACGAATTAAGTGCATATTTGATTTGTAGTATTGACGTGGGGGATAAGGGGGTGGGGGAGCAGCCGGACCCAGCTTGATTTTATCTTGCACTTGGTGCGCAGGATAAGAAGGGAATGCAGTATACAGCCGGGTCCACATGTTTTTTAGTCCAGTGTTTGGTGCACCAGACTATTTCCCTCCAAATAATTTTAATATCAGTGTGGGTGATTAAAAAAATACCATAAGAATCGTGATATGGGAGATTAGACCACTCCGGATTAATTCCTCCTTCATCCAATGGTAAAAAATAATTTTATCATTTTATCCCATCCAAACCAAAGATAATACAATAATCCTCACTCTCTCAATGCAATCCTTTATCCCATCTATTTGCTATAATACTATCCATAATTCTATCAATATCCAATCCTTTATCCCATCTAATCCTACCAATAATCTCATTCATATCCAATCCCATCAAAATATAATACAACTATCAAACATGTTGTAAGGGATTCATTGTTAGATGCTCATTATCAAATACTCAGTTTTCATTTTGCAGGAATAAAGAACCTACAATCATCTCCATCCACTTGTGCTTGCACAATAGAATAATATGGCAGTTAGTCAGCGGATGTCTTTCAATCAGAAGCATAGAACCATCCAAACAGTTACGGTCAACATAAGAAATCAGAACCTAGAATAATATGCAAATAAAGCAGAAAAGGAATAGTAATCAAGATACTCTAGTCTAGAATTCTTTCACAAAACGAGTCATAAATCATTGAAAAAACTTAAAAGTTCGGCAATACAAAATATAAAATAAAAAAAAAACATGACCACAAAAAAATAAAATAAATAAAATAGCACCCACCTTACGCGTTTGACGTGCATTTTCAATGATGGTTCGCAGCTTCAGCTCTGATAGAAGAGCACTGGCAGCACTTCCCGGTGTCACTGTCCTCTTTTCATTTAATTTTGAGACAGCAATTGGGTCGAAGTCCAGAAAGACTTCCCTGTGTACACATAAGCATCACTTGATTCATCATGGTTAAACCCCATTAAATAGAACTAACCATCGACATATAACATTCATTTTTCAGTTATCAAATCAAAAGATAGAAAACACTTGGAGATGATCATACCTAAACATGTGTCGTTTGTTGAGAATGGCAGGCCATGAAAGTTCCGCCAGAGCAGTGGACAAGATGAGTAATTCAAACAGTTTCCTACAAGTTGACATGAAAATCAGAGGAACGCTGCGAAGGATCGAACGAGATTCTCTTAACAATTGAAATTCAGAAAAGAAATATGTGAATAATGTCACAAGGGTTGTATACTTGTCATCGTGGATTGGAACTCCCCATTCTTCGTCATGAAAAACAGCATAACACGGATCTTGAGAAACAAAGGAAAACCAATTAGTAGAAAGAACTCATAAAACATTGGGGATGTTTGAGAAGGAGATTTTTTGGTTTTTTTGGGTTTTTTTTCACTAAAAGACAAATTTGTTACAAAACCAAAAAAAAAAAATTCCAAACAAAATATCACATCAAACCTCATAATCATTTCACTTTTTCCCTCACAAACATCACATCCAACCACAAAAAAACCCAACTATCTTCCCAAAAAAAAAAAAAAATCAAAAAAAAAAAAAAAAAAAAATCTCCAATAATATCCTACAACTTAAAAAACCTACAAAAAAATCCACTTCTCAAACACCCACATTATTTCATAATTTATAAAAAAATGACAGCAAAAATTGCAAGTAGACACAATCTAGTGAGGATGGACCCCCTAACAAAATGGCCAATGGAATCAATTATACATATGGTAAATCAGTATCTAATGCAAAATTTGTGGCATATATATTACATATGTCCATTAGATGTTTAAAAAATATTTCAAAAAATAAAAATAAAAATTGTGATACACATACACTGGATAATTAATGAGCCACCAAGTGAGTTCTCAATTAAAGCAGGTAAGAAGAAGAAGAACATGAATAAGAATAGAAAAGGCATTCTAGAAAAGGCATTCTAGAAAACAACAGCTAACCCACCAAACCCCCTACATCAATCTCTTCCTCCAGTCCCCCGCTCTCTCTCTCTTTGATACAAAAACAAAACAAGAATGCATTTCAGAACAAATTCAACAGATATTCTACCATCAAAATGCTGCATCTAGCAAAACGTAGCATAAAACTAAAGAAAGGTGTAATTGTAATTTCTATGGGGAATGCACAATTTTAGCATTCTAAAAGGAGACATTTTGCTTTTTTGATTGTGTATCTGGAATTGAATTTGGGATGTGGGAATCCCTTCGAATACTTTTTTAATCAATAAGAAAATACTTACCACAGAACAGGAGGCATCCTTGCATTGGTGTCAAAAGAAGTGAAAAATATGTCTGCAAACGACAAAGATGCTAGACTGCATATCTAATTACACAATTCTGAAATCCTAGTCCACATTCAGATATAAAATATTTTCCCCATTAAATGCCTCAATTATTAGAAGTAATGCAGGATAAGAAACCATGTGAAACTGCAAAACAACTCCCCAAATATATCAAGAGTCTGTGGAGACAGGCACAGAAACCATCTCTAAAGTAGGTTGATCCATTCTTGCCTATCTGCTAGCTGCTAAACAATATTCCTGTATATCAACTTTAAACAGATGCCTAGGTCTTCTTCTTCGAAACCCAATTCACACCAAAACTCTTCAAATCAGAATATTTTTAGAGGTATGAACTGCTAATAATGCATTCTTTCTCATTAAACAAACACTTTTAGGATGAAACCACATCCCTCTAGAAGCCATACCACAATGTCAAGACGACTTGCACCAACCAAACTTGTGTCAAACTCACCAGACACTAGTCCAAGAAAAAACGAGATTCCAATATTTTAAAATGTCCAGCACAGCAGTTTGGCACCAGTTTAAATTATTACAAGAAAGATGTTTTCATATTTTTAGAAAAAGGTAAACGACAAGGAAGATATACAAACCCTCACATATATGGTGAGGGTTTTCTATAAATTATAAAAAAAACACGGTCGATGACACGAGAAACAAGCAAAGAAATTAGAGTTCTAGTTGGAGGATGAGAAGCAATCACAATCATTAAATCAGGTACATAATCACATCATATACATAATCATACACTTCAGATCATCAAATTTGTAATTATAATTTATACATTTAACTTGCGAGTCCTCAATTATTCAACATCAAGTCAGCCCAAGCCTTCTCTCCCATTACTTTAAACAAAGTAAGGTTTTGAGCTCTTTTGTAACTTTAGGTCAGTTATTTGCTATTTAAAGGACGTGGGGAGACTTTTAGAGAGTTATTTATGCTTAATTTTCTTGTAAGCAATTTTACGCTGAAAAAGCTGAACCAGGGTTCAGATTTTGGTTTCTTTTATGTAACTGGCAGTTTGCGGAGGGAATGATTACCAAGCTTTGCAGAAAAGTAAATTAATTAGTAAACTCCAAATGTGGATTGAACAGATAGGTTGGCCATGCAAGACATATGACATTACTGATTTTACAACTTTTGAGTCCATAAAATTATATTGCTTGATGTGTATGCTACCAGACTAGTTCATTTAATTGAGTTCCTTACTTGAGTGGGGATATAAAACATCCATCTTATTTTATTAATGTTATACTAGTGCTGCATAAGAATCCAATGAAAGGAAAAAAGAATAATATATCAATCATAAGACCTATTGATCCATCATAAAAGGAGGCATCCCTTTTCCACCTTGTTGTATAGCACTTCCTTTTTTGTTACCAAGGATATATACAAATGAAGAGAAAGCACATTCTATATGTCAAAAGGACCAGGAACTCATTCCTTCTGCCCTTGACTTCTCCATTAGTAGAGCAGGTGTCCCTTTACCTAGGTGGCTTCAAGGTCATCTTTCAGATGGAGGCATGAATACTGACGCATTGAAAAAACATAACATAGGCACAAAAGAATTCAACATAATGTAAAATGTTTGTGTACATGTTCACATATATATTGATACTTGTGCACATGCATAATCAGTACGACTCCTTCAACCCTCCCCTCAAGGTGTCTCGAGATTCTCAACATTGGAGAGTTCACTAATGTTGGAAGTTATCCAAATTGTATTGCAAATTCATTAAAATAAATTTCATAACAATGAACACTTATCTCAAACAAGCCTCCAAGAAATTTTTGCAAAATCTCCATTTTATATGTATGCTTCTCCCCCCCCCCACAAAAAAAAATCCCAAAATTTCAATCTAACACTAAAAAAAATTGTAAAGACCCTAATATAGTAGAGTTACCTTTCAAAGAAAACATTTACTATAATATTATGGTGATTATATTTTTTTATTACATATTGTTTATCCTCTTATGTGTCAGTGCTATATTAGTATCAAATATGAGTGGTTAAGGTAATAAACAACTTGTGATAAAAAAGATGATCATTCTAACATTATTGTAGTTAAAAAAATAAAAAATGAAAATTGTAACATTATTGAAAAAATTTAATCCTGTCCATGTTAAAAACAATATAATTTATTTGTGAGTTTCTATAATGTATTTAATGGAATCACTTGTAAAACTTTATGTACCTAAGGATATTGTATAATAGATTAATTATATTTCTATAAATTCTTACATTTTGACCTCCTTAACCATAAAACTCATACAAATAATATTTAATTAAGACTAATCTCTTATAATTTTATCGGTCTAATTGAACTCTATTGAGTAAAATTTAATAATGATTTAATCAAATAAAAATCCAACGGATCCATCGACAGCTTAGTAGATTTATCCTATGCCTTCTCTTTGGCGAAATGGCCCCCCCACTGGAGAAATCCTAGCGCTGCCCCTGCCTCCAAGAGTGCTGAAGAAGTGCTAACATTTGGTACATGCTATACACAACAAAGAAAAACCTTTCATTTTTTTCTCTTTTTAATAGGTAAAGTGAAAGAAATACTCAAAAACTGAAGTACACTCTTTGATAGAAGAAGACGCCCTCTAGAGACAATTCAGTCCCTCCAAAAAAAGATTTGATGTGCTCCACTCTTAAGCCTTTCCGTGTCGTATTCGTGTCGTGTCACGTGTCCGTGTCCGTGCTTCTTAGATTCAGTCCCTCCAAAAAAAGATTTGATGTGCTCCACTCTTAAGCCTTATATTCATTGGTTTGAGGTGCACTATCTCCTACCTTATTTTACCACATTCCCTTTTTGATAAGAGGAAAGTGCTCCCTCATTTTCTTTCTCAACCTAGGATTTGTGCAGCCAGGGGGAGGTAATGCTAGCCATTAGGGCTGTTCATGGGTCAAGTTGGGTCTGTTTTCTTATCAACCCACCAACTGACCCCACTATGGCGAGTTGCCAATGTAATCAACCGCTGTCGACCTCTGTGGCATTTGAAATCGCCCATTCAAAAGATACGGGTTTGCAGTCGGTTTCGGTTGAGTTGCGTGGGTATCAAAAAATCACAAAAAGAAGAATAAAGAATCACATAAAAACAAAACAAAATTAATTCTAATCCCCAAAAAATATTAATTTCAGATGGAAAAAGTGATATCACAAAGCAAAAAATGAAAAGAAAAAGGAAAGAGGAATTTAGGCAATGATTAGTGAGGAAGAAAATCAAAGAAAAACAAAATAACAACGAAGGAGAAAGGAAGAGACTCACAAGGAATCAAATAGTTTTTCTACAACTTTAACAGGTCTGAATCCTTCACTGGATGGGTTTCAAAAATCTGAATGAAGATCGAAGTAGGAGGGGTTTGGACGGAGAAGGTTGGCATGGAGGGCGAAAAATTTCACAGAGAGAGAGAGAGAGAGAGAGAGAGAGATTGAAGAGTCGGGAAAAAAGACTTACATGTAAGAGAGATGAGAGAGAGAGAAACTAAAGAGTCAGGAAAAGAAAAGGCATTGTTGGAACATGTGAGTGAAGTTGTCAATCAAATAAAATGTGTAAAGGCTTTTTGTTGTTGGAATTTGTAATGGCTTTAAGGATAATCGTCAAGACTTGTTGGAATATGTTAAGTTGTCAGGTGATAATGGCTTGGAATTAATGATGAATATGAAAAGCCAATAGAAAAATGAAAAGAATATAACTTCTTTAAATAATTGTCGGTCGGATAGGATTTTGTTTGTTGGAGTGCCTAGTAAACCGTAGCCCGTCCAAAAATATGAATTTTTTTACATATCTTACCTGCAACCAACTGTTTGGTTATACGAAACTGAGCATTTGTTGCTTTTCGGACCAGATTGGTCAATTTAGACAGGTGATTCAGGTTTTTGTACAGCCCTACTAGCCATGGGGGTTTTCCTCTTCCCTCAGAACCATTCCTCCCCCTCTCTCGTCCTCCCTCCCCTTTCTCTGTACTTCCCCTCTTTTTCTCTACTCTCCCTTTCTCCATATCTTTCCCTTGTCTTCTAGATTAGAGCCACCATAGGGAGATAGGGGATTCCCGCTAGCTATCGGAGGCCATTCCCTTTTTCTTTGAACTCTTTCCTTTCCCCTTCTCTCCCTTCCTTCTTTCCCCTTGCTCTGTATATCCTCTAGCCCATTTATCTCCCTTCTCCTTTTCTTTCCCATTCCCTATTTCTCAGTTCTTGCCTCTCATCCTTTCTCTTTCTTTTTTTGTTGCTGCTTCATACAAATCTGGTGAGCCTTCTCTTGTGGTTCAAACCCCGAATCTTTCAGCTTGCTCTATGTTTTCACATATGCACCTCTAAGGGGTAGCTCTTAACTTCGTGTATCGATTAGTGCTAAATACTTCGGGGTTCTTGTCTTTCAAGTAGGGGTGAGGTGTTAGACTATAGCCAGTTTTGGTGTTACTGTACTAAATGCTTTGGGGTCATTTGACTATGGCTAGTTTTGGTGGTAAGGTCGAATGCTTCAAGGTCGACGCACTTTCTTTCCATTTTGGATGGCTGACTGTGGCTAGTGCTTGCCACGAGTCCCTAATACCTTCTGTGGAGACCTTTTTGGAGATAACTTTCAACTGTTTTGCGTGGTCCATTACCTTATGGAGATGAACGTCAACACAAGCTGCTATTTGGGATGACTTTTGGTGGATGTACAACTGCAGATTTGTTTTTGGGTGCTGGTTGGTTCTTGACTGCTTCAACTGTTTTAGCTTTGTTGCCTTAGGGTGTGTTAGTTTCGCTAGCCATTATATTGTGATTTTTAAACTTCTACGCTAGGTGTTACGGTTTTGTCAAGCCTTTGGATTGGGTGTTGCTTTTTTGAAGCTATGCTGAACCCTCAGGATCATGTCTTGAGGGTCACTACAATATCTAATTTTTGGTATAAAACTAACTGGTTACCTTAAACACACACACACACACACACACACACACACAAAATGGCCTTACCATGCTATCCTTAGAATAAAGTCTAGTGTCCTTATACACTTCACAGGGTAATCCAGCTGTGTGATACTTTTCCTTATAGGTCCACCAATGTTACATGAACTCGAGTACGAGTATAAGGTGCGAGTGAGTGTCCAAACAACAAATCTTCCCAAATCCAAATCTTAGGATATTGAGATATGCATCCAAAAGTTAGATATAGGCATGAGGACATGTCATAAAACACTTATATATATATATATATATATATATTGCATATTGTACAATAATGTTATATAAGATGTCATAAATTATTTAGAAATGTATTTCAAATTAAATGGGATTTAGAAAAAATATGAACTTTATATCTTTCATTCATGTTAGAAGCTAAAAATATTTCTTTACTAGTATATGTGAGCACCTTCTTAAAAAAAATTATAAAATTAGAGCATCCAAAATTTTAAATTGGGTATGGGTGTAAAACACACATCTTACACTTGTCGTATTCGGTGGACGGGTAGGAGTCCATGTAAAACAAGGCACCACTCCCACATAATTGAAGGGATTTATCATGTAGGAATATAGTTATGCCCACTCCTTTAACAAGGTCCCTTTAAAGGCACCATTAGGGTTGTCCACACACAAGACCTTCTGCTAGGTTTCTTTCATGGCCCAATAATAAGCTACATTAGCTACCAATTGGGTCCATATGTTGAAGTGCCAAATGCTTATCATCTGACACCATTGAATTACTAAGTCCAGGTTATCTTGATCAATACCTTCCAATAGTTTTTTGATTGATTAGGTCACTTGATAGTCAACCTAATTGAAAAGCTCAGCCTATACTTCTCGTTAAAACCTAGGTGTTAAGGACAGTAAAACTGGGACTTTATAACCAGCACAGATAGGGCAACTCCAAGAGATGTGGAACACATTCCAACACACCCTCCTAGGCTACAACATACAATAGCCAGGCAAACGGCACACCAGCCATTGGTCCAACCAAATTCTAATACCAAACAAAAGAGTTCAACCCACAATTTTCTTTAAAACCCAAGTATTAAAGAGAGGAAAACTAGAGCTTTATAACTAGTACGGATGGGACAACTCCAGGCAACGTGAAACGCATTCCAACAAACCTCTATGCATTTAGCTTCTTGTAGAGGTACCCATTCTAGGAGCGAAAGTGCAAAAGTAAATAAGACAATTAACTAAGAAGGTGATCAAATCGTCATATTTGTTCATAAAGGTGCAACATTTTTTGAGTAAATGGCATCTATTTCAAATTGCAATAAGCTCACTTTCAAGTAAATGATTCCTTAATAACCAGAATAGCTTAGAAAACCCATATTCTAGGATTATATCTTTCTTCATACACAAGAAGGCTAATTCTAAAACTAGTCCCAACCTGCATTGTCATCAGAACAAGTTTAGGAGCAGTTACAAGGAGTAGGATGAAAGAGAAGTACAAAAAGATAATGAATAAACCAAATAGAGTAAGTCATATGGTTCGAGTTGAAGTAGTTAAAAGGACAAGAGAAAGGTTTTCTGATTGAGTTAGGCTTTCATGAGATTACCAATTATACACGAAAAAATAGAGGACATGCTAGATTATTTTTCACTGGGAAATCTAAAAGTATGAGTTTAAGCAAACTCAATAGAAGTGCCATTTGATGACCCATCTAACTTCAAAGTGAATGAAAACAAGACTTGAAAGTATACATACAATATATGCTCCATTAAAGGCAATAAAATTTAGATAGATTTTGACATCATACAGTAGCTTCTGCAGCATGCTTAGAGCAACAACTACCCAAAATAAAGCTAAAGAAAACAATACTAACATGAGAAGAAAGTCTTAACTGAACTTTGAGAGCACTTCAAGTGCTTTACCTAATGACTAGAAAATCTTATTTACGGCACCAGAAGTCATTATTTCCAATTCACTTTTCACTTCTATGCACTACTTCTTGGTACTCTTATTACTCAAGTAGTATCTTGCTAAAATTTACACGTTCACACAGTTCATATGCAAGCAGATAAAACCAAAGGCAGACACTATACCTGTGTTTGGCGTGACCCAAGCACACCTTTTCTTCGCCGGAGAAGTATCAACCGAATCCACCGATCCACTCTCAACTTTCTCCATCTTTGAACCACATTGCTTCCTCCGAATCGGCGTCGGAGTCCTCCTCCTTATCCTCCCCGTCGACGCTCGACTGTGCGACGAATCAGACGAAGCGTCCGACGAACACGACGCATTGAGCGACAAATTCGACTTCAGCAACTTCTGGTCCTGCTTCCACCTCAAAATCGACGGCGTATTCAAACAATGCGTCGGCGGCGGCGACGGAGGAGGAGAATTAACAACCGGAATCGACGGAGATTTCTTACCCCTAGCCTCATCGATTTCGTGGTGTTTCTCTGTTTTTCTCTCCGGTTTCGAGATCTGCTTTCGCGTCTCCGTCGCCTTCCTCTCCATGTTTCCCGCCGGTCCGAGCACCGGTCGCGACTCTGATTCTGCGCAATTCATCGATCAGAGAGACTTGAATTCGCTTCAACTAGTGCAAATCAGTGAAATGCAAGGAATGTGTAGTATCTAGGGCATTTGAGTAGGACTGAAAATGTGGAAGTCAAAACCCTAGAAATTGTTGGAGATTTGAAAATGGGGATGGAGTGTGGAGGCTGAGGAATTGGAATCTGGAGATGGAAAGCATTGGAGGAGAGAGATTTGAAGGTGCATTGAAATTGAAGATGAAGAGCTCAGTAGTAGGAGTAGTAGTTGGTAATGGTGTGTTTTTTAAAACTTTATGGCTATTAGATCAAGAAAAGAACCCAACGAGTGCCAGGTAATTTTCCTGAGGAGGAGAGAGACGAAGGTAAGGTAATCAGTAATAATGTGCCACCTCACTACCTAACACGTGTTTTTTTTATTTATTTTTTATTTGTTTTATTTTTTTTAATGTTAGACTCTAAAAATTTTATCACACAGTTCTGATTGGTAACTCGAAATTTTTTTGACTTGAGTGGTTCGACTGTTCAAAATGACATTTTGGGTGGGTAGTGTGCGTGTTTGTGTTTTTGTTTTTTTTTTTTTTTTTTTTTTTTTTTTTTTGTAGAAGAAGAAGAAGAAATGGAGAAGAGAGAGAGAGATTATCATCATTATCAAAAAAAAAAATTTGTAGAATCAACACATCATCATCAACACCAGATCTATGTATATACACAGATCTATACACACACATATCTATATATCTATATATATATATGAGAGAAATCTATACATCATCATCAATATCAATACCAGATCACACACACATCTATATATATATATATATATAAGAGAGAGAGAGAAGCCACTCACCGGTAGAGAGAGAGAGAGCCATTTGTGTATGTAGATCTCATTCTTCTCACATTCTCTTCTTCTTTCTCTCTATCTTTTCTCTTTCTCTCTCTCTCTCTTTTGCCTCTTTTCTTCTTTTCTCTCTTTCTGTTGTGCTATCTGTCACAGAGAAGAAAGGGAAGGGAAAGAAAAAAAGAAAAGGAAAACCCAAAACGATGTCGTTTTAGATTTCAAGCCAATTTGAGGCAATTATTTTCAAGCTACCAAGTATTATTCTTTACCAAAAGTGTCACATGGTTGTGTGGGTCTCAGTATATGAGATATTTGATAGAAATTTTAGTAGAATTTTTTGGAGTCTCTATCATTATTATTATTTTTTTTTTTAAGAAAAATAACAAATCAGTAGAAGTTGAGTACTCCCTTTGTCTCAAAATAATAGTCATTTTTGGGGAATCTAAAGTAGTGTTTGGTAGAATTTTAGAATAATAATTTGATAATAGAGTTGTATTTTGAGTTTGTGAGTTTTAGAATTATGATTTGAATATAGAAAATTTGTTTGGTTATGAGTTTTGAAAAGAGTTTTGAATTGAATTTGAAAATTTTGATGTGGCATATGATATTTGATTTAAAAACTTACAACTCATAACTAAACACAAAACCCAAAATTCTATTCAAAGCTCATAACATTTCAAAAATATTTTTTATTTAAAATATAAAAAAAAATAGGTGCCAAAAAAAAAAAAACATGAACACTGTTCTGGTCAACCTGCCGGATGTCTGGGGGGGCGTCCGGGAGGATGACCGGGTAGACGTGTTTTTAAAAGTGGATGTGAAATCAAATTTTGAAAACTCTAACCAGACACCTCACTCAAACTAAGGGGTGGAATTGAATTTTGAAAGCCTTACCAAACACAACCTAATATTTTTTGGTAGTATAATTCGAGTGTTGCTATTAGCACTCCTTAACTTATTTTGGACCCCTAATTTTTAGGTTTTTTTATTACAATAATAACCTTAAATAAAATTACTACAAAGTACATTATTAATTTTGGGACATCCCATCTCACAATTAAACCTACATATCCACTACATCATGAATTAAGGTTTATGAAAGCACCCACCTCTATCACTACCTATCCATCTTCCTCAAATCCCACTTTCAAAACCTACTCACCCTTAAAATCTTGAAAATCCCTTGGCGGCAATGTTCCGACGGTAATGGTGGTAGCCATTTGTTTATCTACACTTCTCCGACAATGACAATGAGTGAAAGTTTTTCTGGCAACCACAACTCCGTAAGACGAGAGAAGTACAACAATAAAAACTTAAAGGAGTTTAATAACTTTGATATTGTTCTTAACTTAGGGGAGATTGGCCTTGTAAGGGTAAAAAAAAGTTTTTTAAAAATAGCAAAAATAATAAAATATGTTCGTCATTTTTTCGGAACTGAACTCCCTAACATATGACCAAAATTATTGTTTATTTGTTCAGGAATCAGTAACCTAACATTTATTATTTGTTCAAAAACAAGTAACCGAACATTATTCATAGATTCGAACTTGTTTTATTGAGAAAACTAAACTAATTATTATAAATAAAAAAAAATTGCAAGAGAAGAAATTTGTTATCCCAGGTAGGCAATCCAAGAGGGGGGCGAATTGGGTTATTTAAAAAAATTTACAATATTAAAATCTATAAACACAATATTCAGAATTTTAACAAATAAAAAACAGAATAATAATTATCAATATAAAAATAAGAGAGATAGGAAGAGAAAATAAAACACTGAGATTTATAGTGGTTCGGCACGCCAGGCCTATGTCCACTCCCCAAGGAACCTCCTTGAGAATTTCTTTACTACCAAAATGAATTAATACACCACCAAGTCTTTACCAAGCTTGTGGATTTTTCACAGGACTTACTCTTATCTATTGAGCCTCACTCAACAATAAATGCTTCACCCTTACAAAAATTTCTCACAAAAATAATGAATAAAAATAAGTGGTATTTAAACCCGCTTTTACAATAATTCTCTCACAAAGAGTAGATATGAAAGTGAAAGAACAAAGGCTATACTTAGATCTGAAAGTGAAAAAGCAGAATACAATATACTCAAAATTTTGGAGCACACAAAATTTTTTTCTCTTCAAGTTCTTGATTTTTCTCCACACACAACACTTCTATTTATACCCAAAAATATATCCGTTAGAAAAGACAGACACTTCTTGAGACATCAGCTGAATTCAAAGAAAATCTGTAATCTTGAAAATTTGAGCACCTTTAAGCTTTTAGTCAAATTTGTACTAAAAAGCAAAAAGAAAAGCTAATTGAAATTATGTCACGTATGACTTTCCACATGCTAATATATATGATACAATCAATGTTGTGTAAAAAAAAAAAAATCTAATTGCTCCCGTGATGTATACTATTTGTATTATATGCATTATTTATATACTATTCTAATCAAATATTTGTATATATAGAAAAATCTCTTTAAATAATATTTATGATAGATCTAAAAATATATGTTCTCTTTAAATTATTGTATACGTTGTAGAGATTTTAAACTAAATATATCCTACCACTCTATATCAATTTTGTCAAAAGAAGACAACCTATCAAAATCAAATTTGTCAAAATAATATAATTAATCAATTTGTCAAAAAATGAATAGTGATCAGGCTAATTTTTCAAAAAGTGAATAGTATAGTTTTCAAAATATTTCCATTTAAATAATATTTATAACAAATATATCATACAACTTATATTTTAAACAGATAATATTTTGTGTCAAATAATATAGAGTATGTATATTAAAAATCTAAAATTTTTAAATAATATTTTAGACATCATCAAAATTAAACAATATGATTAACAATCTCCCATTTTTTTATGATGGCAATATTTGTATGGATTTGACACAAAATAAAAATCAACAATTTGATAGTTTTGCAACATAAGATATTTGTAAAAATCAACAATTTGATAGTTTTACAACATAAGATATTTGATAATTTAAAGCATATGCATGCACAGCAATGTGTCAAAATCATATTTGTTCTCCCCCTTTGACATCATCAAAATAAAATAGGAAGAGAGGAAACAAACACATTGGATAAAATAATCTGAGATGTTAAAAATATAACAATGGTCCTTATGTCTTATCGGGATCATTGTAGGGATTTTGGAGCATCTTTGGCGCCCGAAATGTTGACAAACAAAAGATTTGAGCAAATATGCATCGAGTATTGGATCAGAGGAGTGTATAAAAAATGACAAGGATGATAGGCAAAGATACGAAAGTATCAAGTGTTGGAGAGAAAGAATTTGTTTTACCTTCTTGTGTAATCATGTCATTCCTTACTTTAGCCATCAATGGTTTGGATATGCATGAGGTGCTTGTAATGCAGGCAAATGAGAATGTACCAATGGTGTAGGCATACGCTATTCCTGTAAATGAGGGTCCTAGTGTTATTGGTAATCGGAATTATATCGAAACTATTAATAACACTATGGCTCTGAGTACACAGGCAATGACTGTAGTTTCCAATATAGTGCGAAGATTACAAGCAAAAATACAAGAAAATTAGCAATGGAGAGATGAGGTGTGCTTGTTAAAACAACAACTGGCTAATATTCGTAAGGAGAAGAGAGAGCTAGAAAACAAAAATACGCAGTTGGAGAATGCGGTGCAATATTATGCAACGGTTATAATGCCATGACTCACAGAAGTCGAAAATAGAGAGAGACATGTAAATGAGGCTCATGAAAAGTTGTTGAGAGAAGTGAAACAAAAAAAAATCTGTGAAGCTTTCTAAAAATTTACATGTAATCGAGTAATATTTTCTCCTTCTGAAATAAAATTGCAAGTATTTCTCCATTTTTTTTGTTTTTGTTTTCTTTTTAAAAAAAAATTTGTTTTTGCAAAAAAAAAATAAAAAAATGGTTGGTGCAGATAAGGAGTAAAAAAAATGATATATACTTCCCCTAAAATTATGCACAGAATATACAAATGCCTTCAATTTTTTTTTTTAATAATTAATCTCAATATATTACATGGTATGAGTCTCCCCTAAATTAATGCACTAAAAAATTACGTAAATTGGAAGAAACATATTATCAATCTATAATACCAAGGGCCATTAAGATTCGACCATAAACAATTACACCAAGTGCACTAGCATAAAAGGAGAAGATACAAATAAAAACAATCTCTTCAGACAAGGTAGAAGTAATCATTATTAAATCCAAGAGAGTTTGGAGCATATACAACATGATAAAAAATATAACACAGTACAAAAAAAATTTTAGCATGTTGATCGGCGATGACCTTGATGATCGGAAAGAATGGAGAAGATCGTGTAGATCGGTGATGAATTTTTGTAGATCGACAATGGATCTTGATGGATCAGTCACAGATCTTGATGGATCAGTCACGGATCTTGATGGATCGGTAATGGAACTTGATGAATCGGTAATGATGGTGATGAAGATTTTAGGTAGAGTAGTGATGGATCTTG